AGCTCCCCCTCCCTCCTTGGGATTTGTCATACCTACGGCTCCACCACTTGACCAAGTGACCCCATCCCCGGCAACTTTGTATCCCGCAACATATCTGGCACTGGGGCAAGCAACGCAGCCAATATTGGTACAACAGGCTATGACAATACTGCGAGGAGTGTCCCAACAGCTAGCAGTCATGGTGGAAATGCTGCAGCAGGCTATGACCCCTCCTGCAGTAAGAGAGGTTATAGGAAAGACCTCTAAAGTAAGTGACAGTTCAGCTGGGGAGCTGCCGCCGGTATCTAAGCCAAGGAAAAGGTCACCAAAATCCACCCGTTTAATGGAGCCGGACGCCCTGAAAGCATATCTATCCCCCATAGCACAGCTGAAAGCAGCAGGAAAAATTACCCCACCTGCCATGACAGTTCAACCTCATGACCCAGTACTTTTCTGGAACAAGGTTAAGATGAAGGCAATGGAGGCCGGGGACTGGAATTTGGTTCAAGCTTTGGGGGTACCAGTCAATAATAAAAAAGAATCATCTGTAATGGAAATGGGGGGAGGGCCAAGTGCATTCCCCGTAGAACTGGACCTCCCAGGTTCTAACCGGCCCAATCAACATTTGGGCTGGTCATGGAAAGTGATACAGGATATGCAGAAGGCGGTAGCACAGTATGGACCGAATTCCCCAGCAGTGACACAATTATTGCGATTACTGAACCTAGAGATACTGGTGCCATATGACTTCCAACATCTGGCTCAAGTCATGTTTCAGCCGGTACAACGCTCCATCTTTATGAGCTTTTGGAGGCAGTTGGCTTATCATCAGGCGCTACAGAATATACAACTGCCCCAAGGTGTCCCGTGCTATGCTGTCGGCACAGATGTCCTGATGGGAACAGGTCACGTATTTAATAAGTAACCCAGCGATTCAGGCACAATGGCATCCCCAAATTCTGGCACAGGTTAAACAATTAGGGATGCAGGCACTGATGCACACCACAGAAATGGCGGAGCCCAAGGCGAGGTATTCCACAATTAAACAAGGGGTCAAGGAACCTTTTCTGCAGTTTGTGGAAAGGTTGCAAGGGGCAATAGAAAACAAATATTTGACAGCAGACTACAGGCCCTGTTAACAAAGCAGTTGGCAAAGGATAATGCCAACGTTGATTGCCAAAGAATTATTGAAGTATTGCCGGGGGACCCCTCCTTAGAGGAAATGGTTATCGCATGCGCCAAAGTCGGGTCCATAGAACATGAGATGACCACACTGGCCACTGCCCTAGCTAAACAGAGATGTTATACTTGTGGGAATATAGGTCATCTCGCTAAAAACTGCAGATCAAAGGTTTACACTAACAGCTGGTCAAATCGGAGAGATAGAAAAGACAAAACGAAGAGACGTGTGTCCTACAGTCCGGAAAAAACCTTTGTGGGAATGTTGCAGCAGCCGCAGGCCGACTGCAGTCCAAAAAAAACCTCTGAGGGAATGTTGCAGCAGCCACAGGCCAATCCAGTAATAGATCAACAGGAAAAACAGCCAGAACGGCCAGGGTGGATGTATCCAACATCACCAGAGCAATGGATATATCCTCCGCCAACGTGGTATAATCAGAAATAAGACTCCCACATGATCCTGGTCCCAAAGGTATTCCACACAGCGGCTGTACATGGAATCGGAATGTTAGAAACCCCTAAGGCAATTAGGTTTTTTTCAAAAAAGAAAGGGGGAATTGTCGGGGAAGTCTTCTGGCTGCTGTATGGGTTAAATAGAAGACACCTGTGGCTCGTTAAAACAGGTGCGGTGAGTCACATTGGTCAGCCAGAAACCACGTGACCCATGGATGGTTAAAGGTGGGGCACTGCCTCCTGGGAGAGGGGCATTTCCCTCCTGGGTACTGGAGAGGTAGGAGCCCTTAGAGAGTAGTGACTTGGAGCTCTCTGTTGGATAGATTTCTGATTAAGATAACATTGAGATTAGAACAGCCTTCTGATTGTGAGATACATCATGATCGAAACGAGCATTTGGTTGCGATTCACTGTGAGAAGATAGTCGCAGTTCGTGACACTACCCGTTCATCTAAGAGATTTATGTTGAGGAGATGGTTATTTCTCTTAAGGTACAGTCTGCATCTTCCACTCCCTTGGCTTGCACTTACTTTTGTCCATTCCAAGAAGTTTTCCCTCATAAGAGAGCCCTCTTGCTCCCTAAAACTGTTTTGCTGGAAAAAATATGTATGGTAGAAAACCAGTATATGGAAATATTAAGCCACCTCACTTTGCCATTTCACGTTATGTGCTGGCTTCTTGAAAATTATAAAGTTAATACTGATGCTTTTTCTTCACAAGGTTTTGATGGTGTTGGGTTTTTTCTATCTCCAACTGCCGGTTTTTAATAGGTGGTATCTCCCTATTACAGGTCCCTGAGCTGGCTGGGTTTTGGCTTCTGAGCCTCCTCCTGCAGTTGCCTATAATTCTCTTCTTGCTATTTAATGAGGGTCTGAACATTCAGCCGCTGGAGCGAGCAGTCCACATCATCTTCGCCGTCTTCCTCACCTTCCAAGTCATCACAGCTTTTGTCACCCTGAAAAGAATGGTGAACAAACTGGCAACTCGCTTCCGCCTTAATGAATTTGACCAGCTGGAGAACCATCCTGTGCCTGATTTTTACAGCCTGGGTGGAGAAGAGGGAGCAGTTTCCATGGCTGGTAGGGGCCCCAGCACTGGCTGGGGATCACGCGCCAAGGGTGTGAGAAGCTAATGGAGGCAGGCCTCATGCTGCTCGAGCTCTTGTTTCTGTTTTGTTGGGTCACTCTTTACCTTCCTATATCAGAGACACAAAAAAAAAAAAAACAGATCTCACTTAAGAGCCAGTATTAAACCTCAGAGACTGGAGGTCCACTCTGCAAGAGGAAAAAAAAAATCACAAAAAAGTACACACCAAAAAAACCCTGAAGCCAACTACATAACTGGCTCGAGTGGACTATTTGTGGACTGTTACTGCATAGAGTACCAACAGAGTAAATGTAGTGTTTTTTACCTTTTACAAAGTCACATGGCATTTTTGAAAAACAGAAGCCTTTTTTCCTCATCGTTTGCACAATTGTTTATAATAAATCGTTTATACACATTTTTGTGTTGATGCCAGTTTTCTCTCTATTCTTCTGGATATGTTACACATATTTAATGTCCGATACCTCAGTTAAGCTAAAAACACCCCCACCAACCCCAAACCAACAAAGATACCCAAGAAATATTGAGGCCCAGAAAGAAAAATGATAATATAGTGAACAAAGACTACAGTTTCAGAGATGATCTTCCAGGTAATTCCAGCACTAGAAATTCCTTACTAATAAACTAGGGATGAGATTTTAAAGGTATTCCTTCCTCAAAACTCCTACACTCGTCTTCTTTGGCTTAGCTAGGATTTTAACTATCAAGCCATTCAAACAGGGTGGTGCAATTTTCTCAAACAAAGGATTCAGTAAGTCATCAGTAACAAAATTATAGCCATTAAAAAAATTGGTTTATATCACTGAAAGGCAAAGCCTGTTTCTCACAAGCCAGGGCATATGCTAGGATTCTCTCATTCCTGTTATTTCTATTAATGTCCAGGCTATCTTTTCCAGTTTCAGTAATGGCTAAGAGTTCACTTTTTCTGTGAAGAAGGGATGGGGATCAAAAGTAAACATTTTATCTGAATCTTTTGGGTCTTCAGCATGGCAAGAGTCATCAGTTTTGAGAGCTAGCACAAACATCCAAACTGCTCAAAGGAATGTAAAGCAGATGGGTCTCACATTGAAAGGGGACAGTATGCTTAAAGCTGTTGCATATTTAAAGCTCATAGAACCTCTAACAAAAACAAGGCATTAGCTTCATTTTATACCAAAACTGTTTGGTGTTTTTTTTTATCCATGAGTGAACGGAACGATTCATTCTACTAAATTTCCTTTTTCATTTTGTTATTGTAAAGCATATATTATCAGAGTACATACCCCTTTGTTTTAAAACAAACTACTGGCTTAGATTGGCTATTGCACAGAAAAAGAGGATTTCTGTAAGAGAGTCTCTTTAGCAGTTAGTATAAAACATTCAGAGCCTGCGAGACATGGCAAGGTTTAAGCAGAAGTTACATCATTTCAAGAACACTTTTACAGCATTAGAAACTCCCTGTAAAAGCATCCTTAACTGATGCAATGGGAACACTGCACATGTTTTCACGTCAACCACAGTTACGCTACTGGAGAGTGCCAAGGCCAGGGCTGATGAGCTACAGAAGAGACTTGGTAGGATCCATTACAATACCAGATGACAGCATGAAGGGTCCTGACAGGCCAAAGAGAAACATCAAATACCCTGGAGCCTGTTTTCTCCAGCAACTGTGAACTTTTAACTGCAACTGAACTGTAACTCAGATGTCTTAGTGCCTTGGTAGCCACACAGAGCTGCCTCTTCCTGCTCAAACACGATGCCACTAACACCAAAGGCTGCCCTTCCTGGCCAAGAATGTAGAGTGGACCTCAAGGAGCTCACATCTACCACTAAGAAAACCTAGGTGTTACAGAAATACAAGCTAATGATGCAACATGGAAGCTGAGCACTGCTAGTTTTCAATGCCTTCCAGTGTGTGTTCTCTTAAACAAAGTTAAAGGAAAGCAGTATCTTTTCCATATATACAGCAGATCTCTGATTCTGCTCTCAACATTGAGAGGACAAGCACTGGAACAGCTTCAGAGAGACACTGGGCAGTTGCCATCCCTTCTGCTCTGCATGTAGCTTGCCTGTTCCCCTAATTAAAAGCCCACTGTGAGAGATTAGTAGGGAAGTACACACAGCAAGCCAAGCTCTGAGGAGGTAGAGTGATTACCTGTAGTAATCCAATCTCCTGCCTTAACAAGAAAATGCCATATCCTTTGGTTTCTTTCCTGTATGGCCTGCATTTTAAAATTTAGACTCTTTTGTGAGATTAAGAGTGTACTGGGTGGGAAGGTTTTTAATGATAAGTACATCAAATACAACATAAAGCTGATAAAAAGTCAACCATAAACCAATGTGGCAAACAAGGAACTGGCTTCCAGGATTAAGGCCATGAGACTTGATTCAAAATCCTTGCTTTTAGTGATAAGGAAGTCATGCACTTGGAAGATCAAATTACCATGCAAGACAATTATCAGGAGCCAAAGATATAGGAACACACAGCACTCTGCTGGAGAGAGAGGGAACATCAATGAGACAATACAGGAAACAGAATTCGGAGAAACACTGAGAAGTAGCATTGCCTGGAAATGCTTAAGGTAGAAGCCAGTCTGATATAAAGCCTCAGGAACATATTTGATAAACTCAAGATCTCCACATTCTCTGTGGCCAGGCTTCCTAACAGACCTGCTAGTCTTATTTTTAATTTCATCATTACCTCTTAAGCATTTAATTATGAAGAAAGCATGCAAGCACCTAGAACTCGCATTCAGTGCCTACAGCTGCAGTTTCTCAGTTTCTTCCATTAGTTTCCCACTGCTCATGTACCCAGAGAGCTCAGGAAAACAGAACAACAAATGGAAATTGAAGGGAAGTTTTGGTGCGATTCTCCAAGTTTCACAGGAACCAGTGAGACATCAAACAAGCAGAAAATATTCTAGTCCCTTGTAACAGTCAAATCTCAGACACATAAAAGCAAACTTCAGAACAGAAACTTTTGATAAGCCGGGGCGGGGGGGGGTGGGGAAGAATCAAGTGAAATACATGAGGAGAAGAAAAGGGGAGAAAACACTAGAGAATACTTGCAAAATAAGCATAAACCAGAAAATAAGTGGAAGAACTTTTTAGCATCAAAAGCAAAGCAATAACGGCATTAATGTTTTAAACAAAAACATGGGAAAGCTTAGGAATAATTGCCAGAACAGACTGGAAGGTACAGGAGAACTTCAAAGGGGAACAGCAGGAAGGCTCGCAGCCCTTCATGACTCCTCTTCCCCCTGTTGCTCAGATAGCTATGAGCAGATATGTTGTCCCGTAACAGGAAGAATATACTCATTTTGCAGTGCAAAGTATTCACAAGAACAACATGAGAGTTTAAGATTCAGCAAAGCAGATGTTTGGGGAATGAGGGAGTTTGGTTTTCCCCTCCCCCTCAATAGATGAAAACAAAACTGAAAGAAGGGAACTCAAGAACATCAGAAACCAGTGGAAGTTCATTGAGCACCGTCTAGACAGTGTTAAAGACAAGCTGTACAATAGCAGCTTTTTGCCACACTAGGGTTTGTGCAGAGAAACACAAAGCATTGTTCTGATGATCTAGATAACTACTAACAGCTCTTCCTTCACCAGCAGGACCTCTGAATGGTGAAAGTCTGTGTACAGAACTCAGTTATTTCACCAAATTTACTGTTAGGAAAGGCCAACAGCCAATTTTAAAAGAAATTATCACCAACATATTTCCTATCTGAATAAAGGAAATGAGGAACAGGCATATTATCTTCAAATGCTCTTTTTTAGATGACTAATCAATTTGAAGATGAGTATTTTGTATTCAGGGGCATAGTTGCTGAATTGTTAATACCTGAACTTGGCATATACTCCTTGTCTAAGTTGTAAAGGGATTTTTTTTATTTATTTATTTCAGTAGTGGCAGGACTTCTCAGAAGGGGAAATTAAATTTAGAAGAGGAAGCTTCAATTATGTACCTTACTGAAGCAGATAGAAGATAAGGCACAGATTTGATAAAAAACAGACAATTGATAAAAATGGGGGTACAGCATTAACCTTTCTATACCAACAATGCTCTTTCAGATTGCTGCAAGAATTGCACTCAGAGGAATGAGATCATACACTTCACTCTTACCTTTGTATCATATAAACTAGACTAGACTTAGTGTTAATCTTTAAGCAGGTAGAATTGGCATCATTACATGATCTAATAAGATAATCAATAGATTACTATTCGATAGCTGTGTAAGGCTGCAGAGATCATTTATTTTGAAAAACAAATTTTGTTTCTCCGGCACAGAGATCAGACAGCAGCAATAAAAGAGGGCTTTGTTCAGTGCTTCAAATAAAGCAAAGATAATAAAGAGGTCTCCTATAGGTGGCAGGGAAAGTTGTATATAAGTGTCAGCTGATAAGACCAAGAAGAATTTATAGCAGAATAAATAGGTTCAAGAAGTGTAAGGTCAGCTGATAAGACCGAGAAGAATTTAAACTATAGCAGAATAAATAGGTTCAAGAAGTGTAACACTGAGGGAAAATGAGTACATTGATGACTGATGCCACTGAAGGAGCCCTTAGGTACATGAAGTAGGGGATTTGTTAAGAGGAAATAAATGTGCTAAGTTACTAGCTTGAAATCTTATAGAAATTCAGAGGAAATGTTATTCCACCAGCTAAGCAGCAGCCTTTGGGACACAGTTTCATATTCATTAAATACATGCAACTTCTGTAGCTTGTTATGAAAAAAAATCCCTTTCTTCTTCAGACAATCCAAGGCTTGAGAGCAATAAAGATACAGTCCCCGTGAAGCACATAGTAGCCCAGAGACATGAGCACAACAGAGCAACCATAAAGAAAAATAGAACAAGTCTGGCAAGCAGCTGCAAGCACAACTATGCTAAGACCTATAGCTTCCCTGGTGAATTTAGGAAGTATTAGTGACATCCTTGAGAGCTGCCTTGAACACCCAGTGTTAGGGAAGCAGTTCCTGAAGTCTGTAAAAGAAGGTGCTATTGTTCTTTAAGGTCTAAAAAGACACTTCTTCATTCACACTTGGTA